GGAACCGAACTCACGACCTTGCGCTTGCCAGGCAGGCGCTTTGCCGCTGAGCTAAATTCCCAGCCCCTAAAAAAACTTTCTTAGGGGCTGGAGATGTAGCTCAGCAGCACAAGCACCTGCCTGGCAAGTGGGAGGTCCTGCGTTCGATTCCCAGCACCAAAAAAAAAAAAAATCTGAAAAAACTTTCTTTTCAGTTCATTAGATAATCTAGACTTAAATTTAGAATGAAACACATAATGTGTTGTTTGTTATAATAGTAAGTGTAATTTTTTTTGGTACCAGAAATCGAACTCAGGACCTTGCACTTGCCAGACAGGTGCTGTGCCACTGAGCTATACCCCTGGCCCAAATGTATTATTATAATATTTTTGTTTACTTAATTTTAAGCTTTGTGCAGTCCTGGGGATGGAATCTAGGATCTCACAAATGCTAGGCAAGCGGCCACCACTGAGCTGTGCCCTCAGCCCTGTGATACTTAATCACTGAATGTTTCGCTTTCATTTCATAGGCTGAATTGGTTGGGACCCTAGGGGGCGTCTTCTTCCTTCACTCCGTGTCACAGGTTGGGCTGCTTGCCATTAGTAACGGGAAGGTAAGTAACTTTGCCTAGGAGGAAATGTTTAATGACCCTTGGCCAACGCAAGGGTGTTTTTTTCTTGAGATACTAGGAATCGAACTCAGGAACTCATGCTTGTGAGGCAGGAGCAGGGCTTTTTTGTTAAAACTCACATATTTAGCTTTTTACTTCTGAAATTCACCTTTTCACTCATCTGTCCATTTGTATATCCATCCATCTAATCATTCATCTCTCTGTTCAACTCACCCATCTACTCTGCCCATCCACCCATCCACTGAACCATTATCTACCCATCCCATCCATTCCTCTATCCATCCATCCATCTATCCATCCATTCCTCTATCCACCCATCCACCCATTCATCTGTCCATCTGTCTGTCTGTCCATTCACTCAACCACCCACCCATCTATCCATTCATCTACCCACCTGTTTACCTACTTTTCCATCTATCCATTCATCCATTTGACCAGCCACGCACCCATCAGTCATCTATCCATCTGTCCTTCCATCTATACACTCAACCATCCATCCATCTATACGCTCAGACATCCACCCAGTCACCCATCCATCCTACCCATCAGGCATCTGTCCACCTATTCATCCATCCAGCCAGCCACCCAATCAACCACCCACCTACCTATCCAACCATCCATCCACTCGACCATTCAGTCATCTATTCACCCATTCACTCATCTGTCTATTCACTCACTTGACCACCCATCCATCCGTCCATCCACCCACCCATCCATCCATCCACCCACCCATCCACCCACCCATCTATCCATCCATCCATCCATCCATCCATCCATCCACCACCTATCCCCCAGTCCAGTCAAACATGCATGCACTCATCCATCCTTCCCCTTCCCATCAGTCATTCGTCTGTCCATCTGTTTCCCGCTTTCTCCTCTTTCCTGCGTCCATTCATCGGTCCTTCAGTTGTGAATGGAGCAATATTTATATAGTATCTGCTAGTTGCTAAGCAGTGTCATGAGTACCAGGGATAAAAAACAAATTTGGCACATGTGTCATGGATGGTGCACAAGATGATTTTAATACCCACTTCTTTTTTTTTTTTTTGTACTGGGAATCAAACTCAGGACCTTGTGCTTGCCAGGCAGGTGCTTGTGCCACTGAGCTATATCCCCAGCCCTCACAAGATGATTTTAAATCCCTCGTATCCTCTCTGGTGTGAGAACCTGAAGGTGTAAATACGAACCCAATGTATAATAGATATTTTGAAATAGGAAGTAATTGTTCAAAGGGAAAGGGGAAAGGGGACGAGTGGGAGGGAAAAGAAAAAAAGCATAAAATGGAAACAAAGCTTCATACATAAGGAGGGGAAGAGGATTGAAGAGAGGAGGGGAATGGGAAAAAAAGAGGAACTAAGATACTTCATGTCAGGTACAAATTCCCTCTGATGAATCTGATCATTATGCATATCTATATTGTACCAATAAGATTAAGTATAATAAATAAATGAATGAATCACTCAGATCAAACAGAGCTTAACGCTTCTCCTTTTTATTAGTTTGTTTTTTGAGTCAGGATCTCACTATGTTGTTCAGGCTGACCTTGAACTCACTAGGTAGCTCAGACTGACCTTGAACTCATGGTGATCCTCCTGCCTCAGCCTCCCCAGTGCCAGGAACACAGGGTTGCACCACCACACCACTGACTATAGGTTTTAATTATGTTCTCACACGGTGGTGCTGGAAGGACTCAGGCTTTGTTCTGGGGTTCTCCACAGTGAACAGACAAGAGAGGACTTGGGGAACCACGCTGTGGAGTTTGCAGCTGATGCGAGGGCCGTCATCTAGGGATTTTAAGGACAGGGATCTGCCTTGTGTGTGCAGGGAGGGACCAACGCAGGGATATTGACCTGAATGACAATCCAGGTGCACGCAGGTGTCTAAGTCCATTCTGTATTGCTGTGAGAGAATACCTCAGGGTGAGTACTTTATAAAGCAAACAGGTTTATTTCAGCTTCTGATTTTTTGAGGCTGGGAAGTCCAAACTCCGACAGCCACATCCAGTGAGTGCTCATACCGGGCCATCACACCGTGGTGTGTGTGTGTGGGGGCATTCCATGGCAGAGGCTGAATGCGTGGGCCTTGCTTGATCACAGCCTGCTTTCTTGGTCACAGCCCAGCCCCGAGAGCCCCCACTCAGTCCTTGGGGATGGGCATTAATCCCTTCCAAGGGTGACCGAATCACACCCTGAGAGGCTCCGCCCCCTCTAAACACCGTTACTTGCCCCGCCCCTGTCCACCACGTAAACTTTTGGAGGGCAAAATGCATTCAGACCACAGCAGGAGATGGATACGGGCTGCAGAGAAGGCCCGTCCTCCTCCGCACCCTGCACACAGGCTGCGGGCAGCATCCCGGCCGCCCCCGCGCCCCAGGCCAGGACTCCCCCAGGCACTGCCCAGTGTCCCCTGCGGGTAGGATCCCCGCAGTTGCAAGCAGCTGGGCCCGAGGAGGAGGTTTAAGGGCGTGCGAATGCTCAGGTCCTTTGACCCTCGGCTCCGCCGCCCTGCATCTGCACCTCTGGGGACCCGGCTACCTTTCCTCGCAGGGCATGTTCGCGTACTCCCACCACCCGCTCAACCGGAGTCTGGGGCTGGCCTTCGACTACAGCGAGACCCTCGAGGTCCTCCTGCCCCCGGGCCAGAGAGGCCTGCTGATCCTCTGGAGCCAGCGCAGCCTCCTCTCCTCCCTCAGCGCAGGTGCGCAGCCCCCTCCTGAGGTGCAGGTGTCGCCCCTCCCAGGTGGGTGGGAAACAGCCGGGAGCAGGGGTTCTGGGGCACAGACGCACCTGAAGCGAGAGAGGACCGGAGCCCGCTGTGCTCTGCCGCCGCACCGGGCCCACTCCACTTCCCACCTTGCAGGGGTCTGGTCTGTTTCCCGGTGTTTGTTGTTTTGGTGGTGGTAGTGGTGGTATGAGGGTCGAGCCCAGTGGCCTCACACCGAGCTACATCCTTGGCCCCTTTTTACTCTGAGGCAGGATCTTGTCCCTAAGTTACCTAGGCTGGGCTTGAACTTGCAACCATCCTGCCTCAGCCTCTTCAGTCACTGGGATGACGTGTGCAGCGCCACTCCTGGCTGGGGCTCCGTTTGGAGGGTGTGCACAGGTCCTCACGACCCCCGCTGTTGCCTCCTAGGTCAGATCATGGAGACCATCCAGGTGAAGAAAGGAGACCAGACTTTGCACCCCTCAATCTTTGGTGCCAACATCACCATCCACAGCATTTCTGCCTGTGCGTGTTCAACCTGTCGCAGCTTTCTGGAAACAGATATCTGGCTGATTAGCTGTTGACTGGCTGGCTCCAGCCCAGCCACAAAACCAAACCAGACCCCAGTGATCACAGAAAGTACCACAAACTGGGTGGCTTAGGACAACAGAAATTTAAGTCAAGTGTGGTAGCATATGCTTATAATCTCAGCACTCTGGGAGGCTGAGGCAGGAGGATCACAAGTTGGAGTCCTACCTGGGCAAGCTAGCAAGACCCTGTTTCAAAATGTTTTAAAACATTAAAAGGGCTGGGGATGTAGCTCAGTGCAAAGGCTCTGGGTTCAATCCCTAGTTCTACAAAGAAAAAGGAAAGGAACAACAGAAATTTGTTGTTTCACAGTCCCAGAAGCCCGACGCCTGAAGTCAAGGTGTGAGCAGGGTCTGGCTCCCTCTAAAGCCCCCGAGTGAAGGTTTCCTGGCCTCTGTCGGAACTTCGGTTGTCTACGGCCAGCTCCTCTGCTCTGTGCATCTCCCCCTTGTCTTCCCCCCTGTGTTTGTCTCTGTGTCCGGGTCCTCCCTATCTGCATGGGCCCTGCCTATCCAGCCTCCTGGCCTCACTTTAATTGGCTTACCTTGGTAACAACCCTGTTTCCAAATAGAAATGCTCCCTGACTTACAGTGGAGTTATGCCCCAGTGAACTCACTGTAAGTTTGAAATATTAAATTGAAAGTGCATTGAGCCTGTAATCTCAGCACTCAGGAGGCTGAGGCAGGAGGATCACTGCGAGTTCAGGGCCAGCCTGGACTACAAAGTGAGCTCAAGTTCAGCCTGCACTGCATAACAAGACCCTATCTCAAAAAAGGAAAAAAAAAAAAAAGAAAAGAAAGTGCATAGAGTACAACTCACCTTTGGGGTGTTCTAGTTCAGCCAAGCCAACATGAACAGGCTCAGAACAGCCCCACGAGCTCACAGTGGGACAAACTGATTTGACGGAAAGCCTCTTTTTCATTGATTGATTGACTGATGGCAGCACTGGAGACTTAACCCAAGTCCTTCACACTGAGCTACATTCCAAGCACTTTTCTATTTTTTATTTTGAGACAGGGTCTCACTAAGTTAGCCAGGCTGGGTTCAAACTTGCAGTCCTCCTTCCTCAGCCTTCCAGAGTGCTGGGATGACAGACATGTGCCACTGTGCCCGGCTAATCCCTGCCATCATATGTAATTTATTAAATACTGTACTGAAAGTGAACATCAGAACAGCTGGGCAAGAATGCTTGCATGCCATCACAAAGTAGAGAGATCATGAGTGCAAAGATCTAAGTTGAGGAAAGTCTGTAAGGTCACATTCTGAGCTCACTGGACATCAGAACCCCGGCACCGTTCAGAGTTCATTCAGTTCACTTCTTCTTCTTCTTTGTCTTTTTGAGACAGGGTCTCGCTATGCAGTTCAGGCTGGCCTTGAGCTCACTTTGTAGCCCAGGCTGGCCTCGAAAGCACAACGATCCTCCTGCCTCAGCCTCCCAAGTGCTGGGATTATAGGTATGCGCCACCACGCCCAGCTCAATTCACTTTTGAATACACAGCATCCTCGGGGTTCCTTTGTTAGTAAATTGTTGTGCTATTGCTGTTTTGTTCTACATCTTTGGGAGAACTGCAAAGAACACAGCAGTTTGGGGCAGGACTTCACTCTGAAAAGCTGGTGTTTCCCTTGTTTGCTAATCATTGCATTATACCCCGCCCCTCTATGTCCACTTATCAGTTTAAAATTAATTTACAGTTAGAGAAATTCAGTGACATGCGCTCTTTTAATGTTGCTGCTCTCTCTTGCCCCCACCACCCCTCCAGGACTGGAGGATTGAGCCTAGGGCTGTGCTACCACTGAGCTAAATCTCCAGCCTTTAAAAAAATTTTTTTTGGGGGGAGCCGGGGATATTGCTCAGCGGTACAAGCGCCTGCTTGACAAGTGCGAAGTCCCGAGTTCGATTGCCGGTACCAAAAAAAATTTTTTTTGTTTGTTTGGAGACAGGATCTCATTAAGCTTTGCAGACAGAACTTGAACTTGTATTCCTCCTGCCTCAGCCTCTCTAAGTGCTGGGACAGCAGGCATGCACCACCAGGCCCAGCCTAAAGTTTTCTTTTAGAACACTGCATGTATAGTCCCTCAACCAGATCCCCAAATTGAGATTCCTCTCCAGCTTCATCGAGCGAGCTTCAAAATTTGTAATGGAATAAATTTTGTGTGAATCTTCCAACCTGATCTAATCTTTCTACTAAGGATTGAAATGCATCATTCTCTACCCATCCTCCCTCCCATCCTGAGCCCCTGGCTTTCTAAATGACACTCTCTCTCTCTCTCTCTCTCTCTCTCTCTCTATCATTTGGGTGGTACTGGAATTTGAACCCAGGGCCTTGTACGTGCTAGGCAAGTACTTTATCACTGAGCTATATCCCTAACCTATTTTTTTTATTTTGAGACAAGATCTTACTGTTTCCCAGACTGGCTTTCAAATTTGGTGTCCTGCCTCAGCCTCCTAAGTAGCCAGAATTATTGGTGTGCCCCACTCCATTTGGCTTTTCTTTGACATTTTATTTCTGTGGGGTTTTTTTGTTTTTTTTTTTTTTTTTTTTTTTTTTTGAGATAGAGACTCACTAGTAGCCCAGGCTGGCTGAAACTCACAGCTGTCCTCCTGCCTCAGCTGGGGACGTACAAGGAGCTGGGATTATGGGCGTGTGCCACCACTCCTGGCTTCTTTGACTATTTTAGATTCCATGTAGAAGTGATATCATGCAATATTTATTTGCCCTGCTGTGACTTGCTTATTTTACCCAGCACCACACTTTCAAGGCTCATCATTTTTGTTTTATATTGAAGGATTCTATCCTTTCGAAGGCATTCCCTTGTCCGGGTGGACCATCTTTTCCTCCTCCATTCATTTGTCAACAGACATTTAGGTCATTTCCACATCTCAGGCTTTGTAAATGCCACAGTGAATGCAAGAGTCAAGATATGCAAATCAAAACCTAAGGAGAGCTGGGCATGGTGGCACAAAGCAGTCATCCTGTCTAGCGGAGAGGCTGAAGTAGGCAGACTGCAAGTCTGAGGCTAGCCTGGGCTACTCAGCAAGACCCTGCCTTGAAATTAAGAAACTGCAAGGAGCTGGGCATGTAGCTGAATGGGATAGCACTTGCCTGTCATGTGTGAGGCCCTGAGTTCCATGGAAGCATGGAAGGAAGAAAATAAAAATCCATGAGATAGCGCCTTGCACCCATTGGAATGGCTATGATCCAAAAAGAAAATCCTGAGTCCCAGTGTGTGGAGAAGTTGGAACTCTGCATTGCTGGGGGGAAAATAAAATGGTTCAGCCACTACGGAAAACAGACATTTCCTCAAAAAATTAAACATGCAACTCTCATACAACCCATTCATCCCAGTCCTAAGTACTTGCCTGAAAGAACTGCCAGTCCTGTTTTTTGCTATGGAACTATTGCGGTCTGCGGCAGCCCCCAAGCAGCTACACTAACCTCTCTCCGTTCTGAACAGTGTACATTTATAACCTCAACCCGGAAGTAGCACAGACAAAGCTGATTGGTTATACCTACCTAGGCATTGCCCAATGCGGACAGAATCTGATTAGTTGATTGCTTCTGATTGGTTGAAGCTCAGCTGTTTGCGATTGGTTGACACTCCACAGCTCATGATTGGCTGAGGCTCTCCGCTACAAAAATATAGATTCCTAGATTAGATTGTGGTTTATGTGCTAAATTAGGTTATATAATCCACAATGCAGAAATTCAAAATATACAGAGACAGCTGCTAGACAGCCCCCTCTGCTCCTTCAACCTAACATTACTCGATGTGAAACCTTTAAGAACGATTTCTTTTGGTTGGTGAAAACAACCCTCATTTCTGGTTTTGTCTGTCTTCCCTAGATGAGAATGGGCTGGCAGTGCTGACCCGGGAGGATCATCTGTATTACGGGAGTCTGGGAGTCCTGTCCGGTTCCAGTTACATAATCAAAGTAGGTGAATGTCCAAGTGTGTTTACCGCCCAATCAGTGAGGAAAAATAGTCTGTTTCGAAGTTCTTGGTCCTTTTGTCTCAAAACTAGACCTCACTGTGGTTATTAAAATAATAATGAAGACAATGTCAGCTAAAACTTTCTGAGCATTTGAAAGCAGCAAGTGTGAATCTATTGCCCATGTAGGAACCCAGAGCCTTCAGCATGCTAGGCAAGCACTCAGCCCTGAGCCACACTCCCAGTCCTGCTTAAAATATATCTTGCAGTCACTCAATGTCATTGAGCAAAGTTTGCTGATTTTTTCTTTTTTTAATAGCTGTATAGTTTTCTCTAGTGTATGTTTCTGTTTCTTTTTTGGTGGGGGGGAGGGTCTCACTATGTGGTTCAGGCTGACCTTGAACTCGCTATGAACCCCAGGCTGCCCTCGAACTCTCAGCCATCCTCCTGCCTCAGCCACCCAAGTGCTGGGATTACAGATGTGTACCACTGCACTTGGTGTCTCTTATGTATGTTTTAATTCTTTTTTTTTTTTTTTGAGACAGGGTCTCACTATATAGTCCAAGCTGGCCTTGAGCTCACTATGTAGCACAGGTTTGCCTCTAACTTGTGCTACTCCCTCTGCCTCAGCCCCCCGAGTGCTGAGTTTACAGGTGTGCACCACAAAACCCAGCCTCTTATGTATGTTTCTATTTTTATTTATTTATTTATTGGTACTGAGAATTGAACTCAGGACCTTGTGCTTGCCAGGCAGGTACTGTGCCGCTGAGCCATATCACTGGCTCCTATCATGTATGTTTTTCAAACATTCTTGTTTACTGATTAATTTCTGGGGTGCTTAATTTTGAGCCAGGACCTCATCCTTACTAGGCAAATGTTGTGCCACATTAGAAGCATTCTTCCTGCCAGGCATGGTGGCGCACACCTGTCATCCTAGCACTCTGGGAGGCTGAGGCAGGATAATCACAAATTCAAGCCCAACCTGGGCAACTTAGTGACTTAGCAAGACCCTGTCTCAAAATAAAAAAGAACTGGCAGTGTAGCTCGGCGCCCAGGCCTTGGGTTCAATGTCCAGTATCACAAAAAGAAAAGGAGGCTGGGGATCTAGCTCAGAGGCACAGTGCCTGCCTGGCAAGCGTGAGGTCCTGAGTTTGATTCCCAGTACCGGAAACAAAACAAAACAAAAAAAAAGGAGTTATTCTCCCTCTATCTGGCTGAACCCTATATCTCGAACACATAATCCTGTCCGTCTTCCCTCTGTGCTCGTGCCAGTCTCTGCTCACTGCCCGTCTCTCTCCTCTCTGTTTCTTCAGGATCAGCTTTAGCTTCCACATGTAACTGACAGTGTGCTTTACTTGTCTTTCTGTGCCTGATGGATTTCTTGTAATATAATGTCCTCAACTATTGCCTTTAATAGAATCTCATACTGTGCCCATTTGACAGATGGAAAAACTGAGGCACAGAGACACTAAGTCATTTGTGCAGGGTCATAGAGATCATAGGTGGTGTTGCTGGGGTTATCACTCATTATGCTTAATTTTATTTCCATCCTCCCTGACCCCTGGAGATTGAATTGAGGAACTTCACCCTAGGTTATTTCCCCAGTGCTTTTTTATTTTTTATTTTGAGACAGAGTCTTGCTAAGATGCTACATTGCCTAGGCTGGGCTAGAACTGGTGATTTTCCTGCCTCAGCCTCTCAGAGTACTGGAATTACAGGTGTGAGCTACCACTCCTAGCTAATGCTATTTTCAAGAGATAAAACGAAAGCTTCCTTTCCTTTCTTTGCCAAGGCCATGAAAGTCATTAGTGACTGAGCAACACGGATCCCCCAGATCTACTCCGCACAACTTACATGTGTTTCCTGCTCCCTTGGGAATCAGCTTACTTGCTGGATGTTTCTACAGCAGAACAGAATAAGCTAACTGAGACACAAACATAAGTACCATCTCATTTTGTTTTGTTTTGCTTTGTTTTTTGTTTATTTTTGAGACGGGGTCTTGCTATGTAGTCCAGGCTGGCCTTGAACTCATTATTTAACTCAGGCTGGCCTCAAACTCACTGAAATCCTCCTGCCTCAGCTTCCCCAGTGCTGGGATGATAGGTGTGTACCGCCATCCATTCCTGGCTAGAAGAGAACCGCCGTGACATGGCAGTGGCTACTGTTTTCCAAGGAGGGATTTCTTAGCCTACTCTGACTCCCCAGAGAGATCCGCACACTTTGAATAAATACATATCAAGGGCTGGGGGCGGCTCAGCATGCAGGAAGCCTGGACTCCATCACCAGCTCCATTCCATTAATTAATAAAATGTAGACCTCCAGTCATCTTCCAGGTGAGGACACCGAGTATCCATTACACATTTAATTTCCAAGAGATGAAAGAAACCAAAGAAGCTGGGTGTGGTGGCGCACGCCTGTAATCCCAGCACTCGGGAGGCTGAGGCAGGAGGACCGTTTGTGAGTTGGAGACCAGCCTGGGCTACAAAGTGAGCTCAACACCAGCCTGAGCTGCACAGCGAGACCCTGTCTCAAAAAAAAGACCAGGAAAAAAAAAAAAAAGCGTTGCTAACTCACAAACTGGACTTGCACTTTCCCGGATTGCCTTTTTCTTTCTGGTGGGGCAGGTTGTCTACCTTCTTTAACTCTGAGTCTTAGGCGAAAATTCAAACCCTCAGTAGAGTTGGGGTACCTGGGTCTCAGAAGCACTTTTCCTCTCAGTTTCCAGACCAAAAAGTTTGGTCCCCAGAGGCCGCCCTGATGTTTCTGAACCCAGGGAAACTCCAGATCCTGACCCCAATGCCTGATGCTTCGTCCCCTGCCTACGACTTCCAGCAGTGTGTGGTGAACATTCAGGAGATCCTCATGGAACCAGAACTCCACATTGAAAAGTGCAAAGTATGTGACCCGAGTATGTGGATCAACATCCAGTGTCTTTTTTTTTCAGATCTGGGGATGGCACCCTGGGCCTTGTGCATTAGAGGCCAGCACTCATCACTGAGCTGTACCCCCAGCCGTCTTTATTTTTGAGACAGCATCTCTCTAAGTAGTTCAGGCTGGCCTTGAACTCAAGGGTATCCTCCTGCCTCAGCCTCCTGATGCCAGGATGACAGGAGTATACCACCACATCCGGCTGCACACAGAGCAACATATTGAACTTACAGAAGTGACAGCCATAAGACCAGTGGGTCCCTGTGATTTGGATCAGGAGAAGGCGCCTTATACAGTTGTCAGGACAAAAGTGACTTGGGCAAGCCAGAACGTACCCAGTTGATCTCAAGCTAATATCAAAGCCATCAGGCAGCTTCCTGACCCGGGGTCCAGGTCATAGCTCCCCGCCCCGTCTCATGATTTTGTTTATCTGTAGTATTCAATGAGAATGACACAGCACCTCCAAATGACAGAGGAGAAATAGCATACCTCCCGACCTGCCAGCTGTCCCACACGCTGAGTCCACGTTTCCCAAGTCAAAGAATGAATTCTGAGGAACAACAGAGGTTAAGGGTAGGAAATTTTACTGAGGGAGAAGCAGCTCCTGCCTTAGAGGGACAGGAGGGAATCTGGAAAGCGGCCTGTCCACCAGCCCACTTCTCAGAGGAAGTTTTATACAGCAAAGTCACAAGGTCGGTACAACGCGGGTCAAAACTAGGAGGATTTCGAGTGTAGCGACTTAGGTAACGTTGCTCCAATGGGGAAGCGCATCACATAGCGAGTGCACCTGAAAGAGCAGTACCCTTTTTGGGAAGAGACGGGTCAGGAGGTCCTGGTCACCTCCCTGGGTGACTGATGCCTACTGAGACTGCTGACAGCTCCCTCGGGGCGGTGTGTAGGACACTCATTCAGTCTCTGCTGTAGAACACGAATGTGTTCTTATCTTCAGCGTTGACGCCTTCGAGGGCCCAGGCCTGTCTGACCACTGTCCTATTTCTGCCTAGCTTAGCTGGCTACAGTAAAATGATGTGGGCAGTCCTGGGAGAGGTCGGATCTGTGCTGGGTCCGGTGGCGCACACCTGCATTGACTGCACTCGGGAAGCTGAAGCAGGAGAATTTCGAGTTGGAACTCAGCCCAGGCGACTTAGTGACTTAGCAAGACCCTATCTTGAAATCAAGAAAATGAAAAGGGCTAGGGCTGGAGCTCAGTGGTGAGCACTCCTGGCTTCTATCCCCGCTACCTCCCCCAAAAAGAAAGGAAAAAAAAAAAAAAAAAAAGACAAAAAAACACAAGGAAGTGGTGACTGTAAAGGACAGGGCGGGGTGGCTCTGGAGGGGCCTCTGGGGCTCAGGGTCCGGCCAGGGTGACAGGAGCATGAGCGGAAGCCCAGGAAGCTGCGCCCGGAAGCCGGGAAGTCTCCATTCCTGGGTTCGCAGATCACTTCCGGTGCGCTGTTCACGCTCACCGGGCGTGCGTAGCTGTTTCTTCTGAGGATGCCTGTTCAGTTTTCCTGTCCTTTCCTTTGGGAGCAGGGGGCTGCGTTTTTTCATCGACCTGTTTGGTCTCCGTGATTAGATAGAGCTGATGGACGGATTCTTCGAAGGGAAGATGTACACCATGGACATGAACAGCGAGCTGGACATGATGGCCACCCTGATCCCCCGGCCGGGCATGTCCCTCATTCCGCAGGCACGTGAGTCTCCGATGCCTCTGGCGGCTGGCAGCCGGCCGCATCCTCAGCCCAGCCCCGGGCTCTGGACTCGGGCACCACCTGCAGCGAGCTGCTGCTTTCGGACGCGGGGTGGAAGCTGTTTCTAGGTCTCTCTCCAGCTTAGCCCGGCATGTGTGCTGTGGCTGTGCATCCGTTTGGCCGCCTGGCCCCCTTCCCCGCTCTTACTTCTGTGTGTGTGTGTGTGTGTAGTGGAACCCAGGGTCATGTGCATGCTAGGCAAGTGCTCTAGCACAGATACAGCCCCAGCCATTTTTATTTTTTGAGACAGTGTCTTGAAAATTGGCTTTAAGTGTGCAACCCTCCTGCTTCAGCCTACTAAGTAGCTAGGGTTACAGGATTACATGCACCATGTCAATTTGCTTTTTTTTTTTAAAGAGGCAGAATGAGCTGCCATGGTGGCACATGCCTATAATCTCAGCACTTGGGAGGTTGAGTTCGAGGCACAAGGATCACTGAAAGTTTGAGGCCAGCCTGGGCTACATAGTGAGTTCAAGACTACTGTGACCTCTATAGCGAGACCTTGTCTCAAAAAGCCAAAAAAGAAAGGGAAGAAGGAAGGAAGGGGCAGGCAGGACCTTGCTATGTTGCCCAGGCTGTCCTCAAAACTTGGGTTCAAGTGATTCTCCTGCCTCAGCCTCCTGAGTAGCTGTGATAATAGATGTGTGCTGTACTGCAGCTGGTTTTAAAAAAATCTTTTTAATTTTCGTGGTGCTGGGTGTGAACTGAGGACTTTGTGTGCTCCAGGCAAGTGCTATCCCACAAGGGCACGTATTCAACCCCAAATGAATCTTCTGTTTTGTTTGAGACAGGGTCTCACTATATAGTTCAGGCTGGCCTGGAACTCACTGTGTAGCCCAGGCTGGGCTTGAACTCATGGTGATCCTCCTGCCTCAGCCTCCTGAGTGCTGGGATGACAGGCGTGCGCCACCACGCCCGGCCCAAATGCATCTTTGTGGCCTTGTTGTATGCACAAAAAGACAGCCCAAAAGGCTCTTTTTGAAGTTCCAATTCCCCACGTGACGCCAGCCTGAAAGAAGTGTGTGCCAATGCAGCGTATCCTGAGATGCCACGTCCTTAACCCCGCCCATGCCCGGGCCAGGCACCAGGACTTCGGGGCACAGACAGGCTGCTCTGGCCCTCCCCCAGGTGACCCTGCACACCATCTCCTTCTGCAGGACTGGCCTGGGTCTCCCGCAGCCCCGGGCCATCTGCAGGGTGGGGATCTGCAGCAACATCTAGCGGGTGGATGAGGCTGGGGCCTGCTCCATCTGCACGGAGAGCGCAGTTCTCCATCTGCAGGCAGACAGGGCTCCCCAGGAGCGTCTGTCCTGACTCGGGCTGGCAGCTCTGTGACGTGTGTGTGCCGTGCCCACCCTCCCCCAGGTGATGGTGAGCAACCCCTACTCCCTGGGGCTGAAGACCACCATCCAGGAGTTCGACAACACCTATGAGGGCGGCATCCTGTACAAACTGGTGAGCGCGGCCCCAACTCAGCCGCCGCTCACACGGGGGGGCGTGGCCCCCTGCGGCCCCTCCCAGAGCGGCGCCCTCCTCCCCTCCCCCTCTCTTGCCCACAGGAGGGTGGCAAAGTGCTGAGGGGCTGGAGGGGACACGGCAGGGGGGTACGCATGCAGCCATTGTCAGCACAGGACAGCTGTGGCCTTAAAGTGTCATGTGGGAGGGACACGTCTGACCCACCTTGGGCAGGTGTGAGATCCGGAATGGCTGCGTAAACCACAGTCTCGGGTCTGAGTCAAACCAGAGGGACCACGAGGCGTGTGGCCACATGCAAGTCTAGGGGGCCGGTGGCCCAGCGGGCCTCTGCGTCACACAAGTCCCGCTGGACGTGGTCTGGCATCCCCAGGCAGCGCGCATCAGCCAGCACGGCGCTCTGGCCTGGCCTTTGTCACGTGGTTGCTAGAGACGATGGAGGCAAAGCCATGCCTTGCCGGCAGCCCCGGGAGCAATGCTGTGAGGGCGTGGAAGCCTCTGCTTGGCACCGTGGGCTTGGGGTTTCCAGAATCCTTTCCTGGGAAGAGGGAGGAATATGTGGGGTGTGGTGGTGCACACCTGTCATTCCACCACGTGGGAGGCTGAAGCAGGAGGATCGCTGAAAAAAAAAAGAAGAAGAGGAGAAGAAGGAGAAAGAGAAGGACAAGGACAAGGAGAGGAGGAGGACAAGGAGAAGTGGGGGCTAGATGACTTGGCGGTTCCTTTCAGCACTGTCCCTCTGGCACACCATCTCAATACCCCATCCTGATTTTGGAAGCACCAAGCAGAGCCCTGCTACAGGTGGTTCTCTCCCCACAGCCTGCCTTATTCTGCATTTTTTTTTTTTTTTGAGACAGTGTCTCACTGTACAGTTTAGGCTGGCCTTGAACTTGCTGTGTAGCCCAGGCTGGGCTTGAACTCTTGGTGATCCTCCTGCCTCAGCCTCCTGAGTGCTGGGATGACAGGCGGCCGCCACCACACCCGGTTCCTCTCTCCCCCTATGGTTCCACAGGACATCAAACTCAAGCAGCAGCACCACTGGGGCTGGTTCGACCCCAACTTCACCTCCAGGTGTGTGGTTGCCTGGACAGGGGAGGGCGTTTGTTGAGCCAGACCGAGTGGAAGCAGGGCTGAGATGGAGCCCCAGCTCCAGGACACTAGAAATACTTTGCAAATAGATCCCTCAAAAAATTAAACATAGGGTCGGGAATACAGCTCAGCAGCATGGTGCCTGCCTGGCAAGTGCAAGTCCTGAGTTCAATTTCTGGTTCAAAAAAAAAAAAAAAAATTAAACATAGGGCAGGGCGTGGTGGCACACGCCTGTAATCCCAGCACTCGGGAGGCTGAGGCAGGAGAATCATTGTGAATTCGAGACCAGCCTGGGCTACAAAGTGAGTTCAAGGCCAGCCTGAACTGCATAGCGAGATCCTGTCTCAAAAAGACAAAAAAACCAAACAAACATAGAATTACCACATGTAGGGTCCAGCAATCCCACTTGTGAGTGTCCACCCCAAATAATTGAAAGGAGGGTCTCAAAGAGATCTATGCACCATGTTCATGGTGGCACAGTTCATAGTAGCAAAGGAAGGAAATGACCGCCTGTTCCTGGACAGATGTGTGGACACACAATGTGGTCTGTCACACGGTGGAATATTACATAGCCACAAAGGGAATGCAGTGCCGATGCCTGCTACAATTTGGTGAGCCTGGAGGACACTGCGCTCAGGGAACTGAGCCACACACAGAGGGATACGCAATGCGGGGTCCTTTCCCAGGTGGCCCAGCATCGGCGGATCCACAGAGACAGGAAGGAGGGCAGTGGTGCGGGCTGGGGCAGGGGTGGGGAGGTCACGTTTCGTGGGATCAGAGTTTCAGTTTGGGAAGATGGAAAGCTTGGAGGTGGGTGGCGGCGGCAGCTGTGCAGCTGTCATGCACTTAACGACCTTGAAGTGAACACTGACGGATAGCTGACGTGCGCCAGCTGCGGTGAACACATCTGTCAGCCCTGAGCTCGGGCAAGCTGAGGCAGGTGGATCACAGTCCAGATGGTTCAGTTTAACACTTTAGTAAGATCCTGACTCAAAATGAAAGATAAGAAAGGCTGGGGAGGGGCTGGGGATTTAGCTCAGCGGCACAGCGCCTGCCTGGCAAGCGCAAGGTCGTGAGTTCAGTTCCTGGTACTGGAAAAAAAAACAAAACAAAAAAAACAACAACAAAAAAGAAGGGCTGGGGATGTAGCTCTGTGCAAAGGTGGGTGGATGAGTAGATGGATGGCTGGATGGATGTGTGGGTGGATGGCTGGATGGATGTGTGGGTGGATGGATGGGTGGATGGATGGATGTGTGGGTGGATGGATGGGTGGATGGATGTGTGGGTGGGTGGATGGATGGATGTGTGGGTGGGTGGATGGATGTGTGGGTGGATGGATGGATGGGTGGGTGGATGGATGGATGGATGTTTGGGTGGGTGGATGGAAGTGTGGGTGGATGGATGGATGGATGTGTGGGTGGATGGATGTGTGGGTGGATGGATGTGTAGGTGGATGGATGTGTGGGTGGATGGATGGATGTGTGGGTGGATGGATGGATGTGTGGATGGATGGATGGATGATGGTGTGTGGGTGGATGGATGTGTGGGTGGGTGGATGGATGGATGTGTGGGTGGATGGATGGATGTGTGGGTGGATGTGTGGATG